TGTTTCAAAAAGGCGGGGCATAGAGGAGAAACAATAATGTACAGTATGTGGAAAATAATGTGTTTTTTTTACTTTAAACCGCATAAACACATTTCATTACACCAAATACACAAAATAATGTTCTTTTTAGCAGCATCATATGACCCCTTTAATGAGTCTGATGAACTTGTTCACAAATAGGCTGAACGAATCGATCACGAATCAGCCACGAATCACGAATCCTTTGACTCAATAAACTGCAAACTGATGAGTAGAGCTAATTTGGAGTGAACGAGGATTTGACCGATTGGCTGAAACTTTAGTTAGCCTACTTAAAAGCCGATTATTACAAATACATGTTACAAATTTCGACAGTTTTATCAGCACCCATATTAAACAGAGTTGTAATAAATAGCATTTCATTGCAACGTGCAATAATAAAAAATATTTGAGCACCAAATCCGCATATCAGAATGATTTCTGAAGGATCATGTGACACTGAAGACTGGAGTAATGATGCTGAAAATTCAGTTTTGATCACAGCAATAAATTACATTTTAACAGATATTCAAATAGAAAACAGTTGTTTTAAGCTCCATTAAAATAATATTTAAATAATATCTGACAATACTACTATTTAATTGTATTTTTAACCATTTTAACCAAATAAATGCAGCCTTGGTGAGCAAGAGACAAAAAAAAAACCCACCCCAAACTGTTAATCTGTATTTTGGATTGAGTCTTTGTCAGTTTTATCAACATGCAAATGAAACTTTTTCAGGTAAGATATTAATTTTAATGCGCCTTACTGTAAATGCACATAACAAAAAACTGCAATAAACAGAAATGGGACACAAAAAATTATGATTAACTTAAATGGAAAGTTTTTAGAGCACGTAAATACGCCACGCCAGTGTCAGCGACCATTTAATAATTTTTTTGTTCGAATGAACCAGTTCAAGGAAATAAATTGGACTTCCCATAACCAACATGTACATCTAGCATTTATGGGGCCAATTTACGAACACTTTATATGGATAAGAGTTAGTTCATGAATATTGATGAGGTCACACTGATGTTGCTTGGTAACCTCCTTAGAATGGTCCAGCGTGTGACCCAATTAATGTTAATGAAACCAAGCCTTCAGCATAATAGTATTGCTTAACTAACTTCCCAACTAGTGCCAATATACTATCATCTGCACTTCAGCCAATCAGTTCTGACATAAACTGATTAATATGCACGATTCATGTTTAATATGGACAAACAACTACATATAGTGGTTAAAGGTGCAGGTCATTAACATAAGTGGCTCTCAGAGGAAAATTAAAAGATTTTATTGGCTTCATTTATTTACACCCTGCAGGGACCTCTGGGAGATCTGCGGTTCCGACCTGTTCAGCTTGTTAATTGAGAAGCAATACAAGTCAAGTCATTTCTATAAATCAACAGGATGGTTGATGTTTTCTTGTAATCTCTCATTATAGTCCTACATGTAAAGCTGTTTTAATGGAGCAAAAGTGTCTTTTCTGCAAGTCAGAACATCTTGGTGACACCCCCATGCACCTTCTTTTCTAAAGTACTGTAGGTTAATGAATAGTGAAAGAATGAAATTGAAATGACAGTTCTTGCACAAATTGTATTTTTCAGGCTAGCACGTTCATTGAGCTTGCAAGGGTTAATAAAAAGGACTTTTGTGTTCTCCTAGGTCTACTGGTGAACAAAGTCACCGGTTAGGGGGGTGATTTAGAAATGGGACAGTTATTGAATTCACTTGAGTACAGCACTTAACCCCTAGGCTACTCCAAGGAGATTGACCCTGGAAGCAGAGTACTAAAAAGTCACTCAAGTAGCCAAATTAAATGGCCAAATTAAAGCTGTCTCCCCCCAGTGGCTGCCATTTGCAGTTCCAGTCTGATTTTGTGCAACTTTGAGACAGACAGCCCACTCTGTGATACTGTGGATCAAGTTTGTTTCTAATAAAATAAAAACAAGAAAATCCCTTGTAAAACTGAGCATGCTGAAAGTTATAGTTTGCCAAAAAATGAAAACTCTGTCATCATTTACTCACACTTATATCATACCTGTATGACTTCATTTCTTGTTGGTAACCAAACAGTTTTGTTGACCATTGGACAAAAACACATAAACATCTTGTTTTATGTTCCACAGAAAAAAATATGGTCATACAGGTTTGGAAAGACATGAGGGTGTATAATGGCGGAATTTTGATTTCTGGGTGAACTAACCCTTGAACTTTTTTTCCACCTGAGTGCTGTCCAACTGAATGACATACAGAAAGTTTGAGGAAATTGACATACAGACATACAGAAAAGTGTTTGTGTGCATTTGGTTTTAGAGGGAGAGAGAGAGAGTTCGGGAACCCAATCTGGCCCATCCAGACGACAGTGCTGGAAACAGTATCCCAAGGGTGTAATAACCTATACACCTAAATCTGATATGACAGTCCATTTGGGAGGGGACCCTGTCTTCTCCCTTCAGCGTCAGTGCAGATTCAGCCGTCTCCTAAGACGCGCCAAAGATATTTATACGCACAATTGCAGGCTGGCGAGTCGGCAGTGCCAGCTAACGTTCCTCTTCGCCTTTCTGTTCATTCTTAAAAAAAAACAAAACACAGACCTCAGCGAAGTTCAGAGCAGTTTGGGGTTGCGGTAAGAGCTTGCGGAGATGTCTGTGACACGTCAGGGGAAGACCTTCACAGGTCCACTCCACACTTATACAAAAGCCCTATGACGGTCTCACTGAGGTCCTTTATGGCAGGGGTTTTAAATCTTTAATATATCACATGGCCCCTAAATATGATCATCCTCATGCGAGGGACCCCCATCCTAAATTTAAAAGGTATCTATATAATTTCTTGTATAAAGACCCAACTTATTCTGTGAAAAATGTAATATTATATATTATAAATAAATATTATATATGTATATATATTATATAATTATATACTTATAATTTATAATATTAAATTTTTATTTCATATTGCTTATTCAGAAGTTATGTAGTTTCTAATTCTTTTCCCCTACTCATTATAGTACTGTACTGTTAGATGTATTATTTATTTATTTACTTATTTTAATATACTTTTTATTTTTTAATTAAATTTGATTTATTTACGTACAATTTTTTTATTTTTTTAATTTAAATTTTAATTATTTTCTCCAAAATTTTTCTACGGACCACCACTTTGAAAACCCCTGTCCTTTGGTATTTATTGGGGCCACCCATAAAAATTTTGTCCCAGTCCACATGTAAAGTGACGACCCAGCTGCATACACGCATAATATTCCAGTCAAACAGAGTGCAGTGATGTAATGTCACATTTTCCCAATGACAGCATTCGCTGTGCCATTTTGATTGATATTTACAGCGTTTTTTTTCTTGGTTGTTAGGGGCCGTTCACACAGGATGTGTTAATGCGGTAAAAGCAGCTAGATGGAGTTCAATATATTTTTAAAAAGACATGTTTATTATCTCCTACACACTATTGCGAATATCAGTAATCAATATGCTTGTCTATAAACGTGTACATATGCTAATAAATGTGAGATGCTCATCCCGCCCCCAGATTAATCTGATTGGTCCATTGACATGTATGCACAGACATTTATCTACTGTATCCAATTTAAAAAAACATTTTTTATTAACCTCACATAGCATCTTAGAAATGCACTGCTCATGGTGTAAGATGTGGAAAAAAAGTGAGACGCACTATAGGTGACAAAGACATCCATCTAGTGCATGTTTTCATTTTCTAACCAAAAAACAGTGTTGTGTGTGAAAAGCCTACCTTTGAATGTTTCACACATATTACGTGTACTTCACTGCGCTGAACACAGCAGCTGCTCGGATGAACGTGCAATGGGAGTCAAGCCTGTATTCCTTACCAGTAACCAAAGTAAAATCAAAGATGGCGACATGCATAAAACTGAAAGTCTTATCACTTTCTGACACGACAAGAGTCCAAACGAGCCGCGAGTTCATCCGTCAAATCTTAATTAACTGAAAGCAGTCTTTAAATTTGGGCGGAGAGCGGAGTATTTGAGTCGCGCGCAGAACACAAAACTGACAAAACTGACTCCGGTGGAAAACTGACGGGATCTAAAAATTTCAGGTGACA